TAATCAAAACAAACGTGTAAAGTGCTATCAGTCTGCCATCCCGTGTTCAGCCATTGTGACTCAGCCCTGAGATGATAGAATTTTACAATCCCAAACAGCAGAGCTGTCAAAATTCTGGAATAATTTTGGTGGTTTTCTCTCAGTCCTTCATCCACTCTTTAAAAAAAAAATAATAACTCGGGCCTTTACCTGTATCCTCAAGCTTTCTGTTTTAAAAGAAACTTTCAATCACGTGATTTTAAAATAATTTGCACTGTATTATTTGCATCATCTGTCACAATCTCTGCTTTCATCTACTCAGCCACCTTTGGAGGTAACATTTTTTACAGTTTTTGTGGTTTTTGTGTCTTTCTCATTGGCTTTCTGGGTTTGATAAGACCTAACCAAGTCCTCTTGCTGGAATTTATTAACCAGCTTTACAAGTCTTATAGAAAGAACTGAATAAATCAATGTGAAGCATAAATAATGTATTGATGCCTCCAAATAAGCCAGTTTCATCAGTTATTTTAAGAAAAGCCTAATGTCAAAATATAAGACTTTTCCTGGCCCCATAACATAATTTAAATGAAAAGTTTCCCTGTATAAAGTCTATAAAACACTTCACTATGTTTGGGTTTAGTGAGGAAAGAGAGAATAAACCCAGAACTAACAATTTGGGGTTTTATTTCTGCTTCCCCCAAATAATCAATGATTACACAGCAACAGAAATATTTTGTCCCAACTCAAATAGGCACAAACACAATTCCTTTCCAATCTCACAAATATTCTCATACTCTGCATGTAACGATCTTGATGATGCACTGTCTAGACTTCTTGGAACAAGTGATGGAGTTTGGAATTTATTCTGTGGCTTTGAGAAAGATTATTCAAAGCTCCTACACACTTCCATATGAAACCCACTGCCTTCAGAGTATGTAGAAGTTATGAAACTGGTTATAAGAAAAAAGTATCACTGCTGTAACTTTGACCTTCTACTAACAGGGAATATTTTATACATTCATCCATTTTAGCTCTACTAGCACATTGCAATGTGGTTCTTATCAGGTGTGATACCACAAATGTCAGTGAAATACTTTATATCTATGAAAATGTATAGCAATTTTTTTTACCTTTGGGGAATCATCAATAAAAGAAATTAGATTAAGGGATGTATATCCATTCTTGTTATGGTCTTAATAAGTAATCCATAGGAATTTATGAAGACAAAAGGGCAGCACTGATATCACAGGACCTTTGTCTTTTGTTGTTAGTTGGATAAAATAAAAGCAGTCCCTCAGGCTCCCAGATCTAAACAATATTTGTACAACCTAGATTATTTAGTCTAAGTTTAGCTCTGAAGAAAATCAAACTTGGAGACTTTGAGTAAAAGTTCAGTTATTTGTCATCAATAACCTGAAACTGAGAGTTAAGCTTGCACAGAGCTGTAGCCATTTCCTGTACATACTTGCTCTGGGTTTTACAAGCCTGTCACTTCTTTAGGCTTTACTCAACAATGCATCAGTTGAACACAGAAAAGCTTTACTGTGAAAGTTTATCCACAGATAATAGTCTTAAAGGGATAAAACTCCACATTCACCTGCTTAAAATCCTTCTTAATTTTCAAACAATTTCCTCAAAACCTATTAATTTGTCTCTGACAAAAAACAGCCAGAAAGATTTCATTTCATTGAATGATACACAGACAGGAATAGCACACTGAACTGAACTCATTTCTTTTATAGCATAAAATCTGCATTATTTCTGTTCAGAAGAGCAGCATAAAATTGAGTGAGCAGCATATAGGGTAGACTTCCTAAAATAAAGTTAGGCATTCTGACTATAAAGTAAGGACAAAATGTAAGCAGACAATTAACAATAAAATATCAACCAAAGGCATATTATTCTATATATTCTTAATTGAAGCTGCAATTATTAAATTCCACTGATAAAAAGAAATCAGTATCTATATTGCAAGGAAATGATCAGAAGAAAGCTCTTAGAATTTTTTTTGTTTAACTTTAAAGGTAGTGGAAAAGATTGAAAAAGATACTGAATCGTGAATCAGAGGAAAATGGGTTTGTTCTCATTATATGTGAATCTCAGTTTCTTCTTCTGTAAAATGGGTGCAACATCTTGTCAGACTCAAAGAACTAGTCTAAAGAGGAGAATGAATTGTTCCATAAGCAGTTTAGGTGTGTTCATGCTCCAAATTCTAGGGAATATTATGAAAAGAGAAAAAAATCTATTGATTTAGTTTTATAGAAGTAGTACACACATGAAGTTTTGCATGACTGAGTTGTTTGAAAGCAGCTAAGAATAACATGAAATGTTCTCACTAATCATACTGCCTAGGTATTCTTTAGTTGAGCAGGGAGGTGTAAACACTATAATTGAGTTAGCTCTCATGTGAACAGGTAAACTAGGGCCACAGGTCATGTCCCTAATGACCTCTAATTCACAGAAATACCTTCTAAAAGACACTGACAGTAGAGTCCAGGTGAATGGATCAAGGTAGTAGCATGAGTGCCAGTGACATCATCCTATGGAAAGTTCACACATACTAACTTGTTAGGCTCAGTTGTAAAGTTTGAAATTATTGTAGAACGGAAAATTTCGAGTAGTTGAGAAACTATTCTTATGCTGGTATATAGTAAATCTTGGAGGCCCATGACCAAAGATAGAACATAGCCACCGCAGTATCAATTATGTACTTGGATAGGTTCATAGTGTGCAAAAATAATGTCCTACTTGCTACAAATTTGCTAGTTTTTTAAAGATTCAGATCAAGAAGCTTTTTCCAAAGGGTATTCCTGCAGCACTAGGTCTAAGCAAACTTCACAGGTACTACAAAAATGAAGTTGTAGAAATGTTGCATTCATCGTGGTAAAATGGGCTTTTATAAAACATGACTTCTCAGAGCTTTTATCATATGTCATGAAAGGAGAGTGTGCATTATGTAGCACTGCTCAAATATTTTAGAATATAGAAAACTTTCCTCTCAATATAGCTAGTGTTCCAAGTGTACATTGTCAGGAATACTGAATTCAAGGATATTTAGAACCCAGAGACAGTGCCAAGTCACCATTCAGAGTCTGAAATGGCTAAAGAAATGCTATTTACAATATAATCCCTGGAGCATTTCATTGACAAGAGATGCCTGCCTTACATTCTAGATGTAAATCCAGGTTTACTGAAATGTGATGCTAGAGTTCTGTACTTACCTGAAAAATTGATGGTAACTGACCACCTGTCCAATTAAGGACAGAAAAAACATGGTGAGAACAGTTGGCTAAGGTATTTATTTAAAGTTTATACAAATACATCGTGAGTGGAGGTGAAATTAATATCTCTAGTGAGTCAATGAATAAGTCATATGCTTAATTTTTAACTGGAATTGGAAAGCTTTCTGCTTATACCCTTTCCTTTGGCCGCTGAATGATTGCTTACTGAATTCCAGGGATTTCCTTGTGTAGTAAGAGACGCAAAGATGCATAAAACTTAGCCCATGCCTTAAGGAGATGATAGTCCGGACACTGCAGTAGAGGACTGGTGACTACCATAAGCACAGAGGACAGATTATAGAAGTCACTGATAATTTTCAATGATAGAGCAAAATCACAAATATTACTAGGCCTTTCAAGCAGTTATTCTTGGTTCAAGTTAAAAAGCAGTTTTTATGTGGATATGAGTTGCTCTTTGTTATTTTAAGAACACATAGCTTACAGGCAACAGTTTGATTTATCTGGTTTAAGCTATTGAATTAAGACTGCCTCTATTTGTAGAAGTGACAGTGTTTTTAGGGTGGAGATTCCATTTTTTCCAAGTTTGTTTTCTTCATTATAGTTGTCCATGAATATTAAGCAACTGCAGCTGACAAGTTAGTCTCCACTGAAATATTTCCCTTTAGTTAGATCATGTCTCTTGAATACTGAAAGGGCTATCATATACAGAACAAGTAATTTAGTTTTTTGATATTTATACTTGGTCCTAATATTTGATCTGAGCAAATTCAGAGAAATAGGTTCAGAGAACTTTTTTTGTCCATCAAAACAATTTCCCTATCCTTTATGAATCAAAACACTTTGTTTCATTAGCTCATTCTAGTTTTAAAGTTTTGTGATATTGTCACATTTAGAAGTGAGGAGCATAGCTGATTCCACAGAAAATTCAATTCTCAAAAAATAGAACTTTTGAATTTACAGGGAGAATATGTGTTAAAAATGGGAACATAGGTCATACTTTATATTTCAGTAAATGAGCTCCCTTTCTTCTTTGAAAAAAATATATTTCATCCTAAATATGTATTTTATTAAATATCACAACATATAGAAAAATGATTAAGATGTTTTATTACTTATCCCAATAGTGAAATTTTCAAGAGTTAAGAGTTGGAAAGCAAATAATGCCAGTGACTTAGATGAAATAGGAGAAAAGCGTGAAGGAAGCTTCAGCATTAACTCCAATACTATATTTCTTTTAGGTTAATACAAGTGACATGAAAATGAAAAAACTTGACTTTTGCCAGATTTGAATGTGGTAGCATAAGGTTTTCCTACATTATTCCTCCAATTTTAATTAGAAAAGAAATAATTACTAATATTATATGATAATTCATTCATTCAACAAATACTTGAGAGCCTACTGTGTGATACTTGCTAGCAATAAAATGGAGAAAAATAAAAAAAACAAAGCAAAACAGACAACACCCTGACCCTCACTGGTGTTTACATGTAAGATGTGAGATATTGTAGATCTTACATAGAACCTTTAGAATGAGGATTGGGATAAAGTAACTCGAACTGAAGCTGTAAAGGTAAGACTACTGCAAGTACTAAATCAGTACCAAAAAAAGTGGTCATTCAGTGCCGGTGTGGGGAACCTGTCTTACTTTTGGTCAAAACAGAATTTGACTAATCAGTACTGGCCATGACCCATATATCTGAAGTAGTCTCATGTGGTAATTAATTTGTTCTATGGTTGAAACCCCAAGTTTACATGCATTTTTCTTTGATTCCCTCTAGTATATGACTGCTGCTGCTCCTATGCAAGGGACCTACATTCCCCAGTACACGCCTGTGCCTCCAACAGCTGTTTCTATTGAAGTAAGTCCATCCCTGTCTTGTAGAAAGAGACCAAGGGAAATGAATCTGAGTTACATACAGTGCGTTTCCCATGACCCAGGGAATTCTCATGTCTAAATTTTGTGTTTTTATGAAATTTGTAGTAGTCACAAGCCCAGTATATTAAAGTATGCATATTTATTCTATTATGCCTATGTTTTGCTTTGCACATGAAATGTGCTAATCTGATACAGACATATGAAGGAAGGACACTTTGCACAGCTAAAATTCACAGAACAATTCATTACTTTATCAAGTGGTAACCACAATACTCATAAATGTGGAGGAAAAGCAAGTTATACCTCTTTGAGTGAGCTAGATCTCCAGTGTCTTTTTCCTCAGAGATTCTTGACCAGCTTCATTGGAAAACCATGGAATTTGTTAAAAACATAAGCTATAAGATCCTTCTCAGACCTAATGAATCTTAATTTTAACTTTAATATGATCTCTGAGTGACCCAGATGTACATTAAAATGTGAGACATACTGTACTAGTCCGGATTCTCAAACTTTTCCACACATTACAATTATTTGGAGAACTTTAAAAAATACTGATTCCTGGATTCTATCCCCAGAGATTCTTATTGACTTATCTGGAGAATGTACTAGACTTTCAAGTTTTTAAAAGATTTCAGGTGGTTCCCTCATATTCCAAAGATTGAAAACCACTGTTCTGGCAAATAGTGTAATTTGGTGGTACAGTGCTTACCTAGCGTGCATGGGTTCAATCCACTGTACCACAAAAAAAAAAAACAAACCAAAAACAAACACACAACAACAACAACAAAATCTCTACTAAATGAGCCTTCACAAATTTGTAGCTTTCTATACACAAGACTGAAATAGTTACATCACTCTTATCACTGTAGACATAATGAGTGATGGTGACTGTCTCATCTTCTTGATGACAGCTTGGCCATTTCCTTCTCACTTTCCACTGGGATGAACCCATCCCCTCTAAACCTATTTTACTGGTCAGAGACTCAAGCTACATAGAGAGGAGAAAGCGTAGAGCTATGCAGAGAGTGATAGAACATTTAGATGTGTATTTTCCTCTCGGTTCTACACATTATTTTCTATTGTTCCTCTGTGCCTTTTCCCAATGCACATCTGCATTATGGTCACACTGCTCCTCTTCTCACCTACTGAAAATCTTTGGCAATTGATCTCTTTGCTGTTTCATAATTTGTCCAACATATAATGTATTTGCCCTGTTGCACACAAAAGTCCACCTATCAAGAGTCTGCTGGAAACCTTTATAGACTACACTGGCTCTTTTCAAAAGTTGATTTACTTGTTCTTTGTGTGTAGCATCACTTGCTTGTATGATATTTACTAGGATGCTGTTGTGTAGTTTAGAAAACCAAAGACCTGAGATTTCTAATCCCTTTGTGTGTTCTAGATGTGTATATCTCAGAAAATGTGTCACATTAAAAAGTTTTAATTAGATCTTCAGAATTTCAAGAACATTATGATTAAATTACATGTTCTTGATTATGTTTATCCATTAAAAACCACCTACACTCTGAGAAAATCAATAATCTGGATTTTCCAGGCACTCAAAGAATAAATTTCTGCCACATAATTGCATTTCTGTATGTCTGTACCAAAGGCATATGCTAATCTAAAGAATTAGAGAATTTTAGTGATTATAAAATAATAAAATATATTTGATGGGGTGCCTTATTGGAAACAATCCAATCATAGTTAAAATCAGAGTTTGGAAAGAATAATTTCACTTAGAAATTTATAAATATATTCTGGTATATCCCTTGTGTTTAGGTTTATAAGAAAAAACACTGATTCATTGTCCATGTAGAAGCAATGATCATTTACCTGTGTCAACACAAATAAATGCTGGTGGGATGTTTGGAAATGTACACAGCAAGAAATAATCCCTTGAGAAAGCAAACAATGGATGAATATAGGGGGATTTTTCAGATTCTAGGGAAGAACTTCAGGGATCTTTAAGAGACAGAGAACTGATGAAGAATATTCGCAACTCAGCATCACTGCTGATATCCAACACTGTCGCCTTCCTCGAGTCTATTAACAATCAGATCCAGTCACCTATGGCTCTCTTGGAACCAAGCATCTGCCCCTGGTGCTGTCAGTGCCAGAAATCTGCTCTTGCTGGCATCTGTTAGAAACAAAATATAGGAGACAGGTGAAACAAAGGCAAACAAAATTAAGGGCAGGGTTTTTCCACACTTTTTCTGAGACCACTTCTAACCTTTGCTGTTGATGTCTATGAAGGCCAGAGTCCGCTGGTTTGCTCAAAGGTTATAGACATAGTACAATAAACTACTCCAGGAGCTTGTGTGAAATACTAATACTTATAGGAATCATGAATAAATACTTTACTAAAAAATTGCTATTTAGTATTATTTATGCAACTACTGCTTAAAAGTTTCAAGTATAGGCAAAATGATTTTCTGATTTCTTGGGTACTCCAAGGACTTCTGATTGTGCAGCTTATTGGCATCATATTGAGACAACCTCCTCAACCCATACTGAGATATACACTGCTTTCCCTTGTGTACATATTGACACTTCACACAGCTGACAGCATCTCTTCTCAAACCAAATACAGGGCATTTATCATCCTCAAAGCAAGGACCCTTTGCTTAAAGCAAATAAGTCTTCTGTGTACTTATTTGCCTCCTTAGGGTGTTGTTGCTGATACCTCTCCCCAGACAGTGGCACCTTCATCGCAGGACACCAGTGGTCAGCAGCAACAGATAGCAGTGGACACGTCCAACGAACACGCACCTGCATATTCTTACCAACAATCTAAGTAAGTTTGGGCTATGGCAAACTGCTTCCCTCAAGATCAAGTACCTTGAAATTACTCTTTCAAGATATACTTGTTACTTTGTGGTAAACAACCCCAAAGTTAGTGGCAAGTATATATTTTGCTCATAATTATATGACTAGTTCGGGCTGGATTCAGGAGGGTATCTCACATAACCTTGAGTGAACTCAAAGCATATGACTCTGGTCCCAGGAAGTGGCTGGCTGTTACATAGGGGATGAAAGTGATTGAGCCACGTGTTTCTGCTTCTCCGGAATTCAGAATTCTAAGAACAAGTCCAAAGAGAGCAAGGATTCCTCAGATCTCTTTGCCACTCCTCAGCTATTGTTTCACTGGGCAATTGGCCAGAGTAATTGGAGGTATCTTTTACTAAAGAGGCACACTGCAGTCATTTCTACAGAAAATAGATTATCATACATTCTTGGAAAAATTGTAATATTCTCACCTGAAAGTGTGGGGGAACCTGCATTTTGTTCTTAGTCTCCTCACTGTTAAATGAAGACAGTGATACACTGTTTGCAAGGTTCCTTTGAACACCCAGTTAAATGTTTGTGAAAAAGGATATTGTTAGATACAAAACAATAGATACTTACTCAGGAATTAAATTGCAAAATGAAGTAGTCAGTTATGCTTGATGGTTCTTAAATCATTCATAAAGGAAAATATATTTGACTTTGTACTCAGAAAATATGTAGGCTCAAATTTGACAGCTTTTTGTTGAAACCAAGGGAATTAGCAACAGAAAAGTCTACATACAGAAGCTTTGGCATGCGAACTATTCAACTTTGTAGATAACAGTCAAACCCTTAGAAAACAATGAATTCCCAGATGGTCCTCTTAGAAGAATGTTGCTCCTCTTCCTTGTCATCGTCTTGCTTGTTAAAGAAAAATATTATTCAGACACTCGTTAAAAGAACAAAGAGGATTTTATTCAGGATAATTTCAATGTGTGTCAGGACTGTCATAATAGGAGCGAGAGACTAGGCTCAACTCAGAATACAACAGAGACAGCTGGAGATGGATACCCAATCAACAGAGAAAAAGAGCCAGCGAATGAAAAAATACCAAGAGGAAACAGCAGGGTAGGGGAACTGTTACTAAACTGGCTTAAAAAGTGTTCTTATTGAGAGCAGATCAAGAATTGATACAGGAAATGTGGGAGATGAAGAAACTGATCAGACATGGAGAATGATTAAGTATCAAGGGTTGGGGATTCTGTCTAAATTAACGTAGCAAGCTTCTTGGAAAACTAAACTACGTAGACCAGGCAAGGATGCGATCAAGGTCTAGGCATAGTCAAGAAGGGAGCTGAGATTAGGTGGACTGAAATTTGGACAAGGAGAGAAGGGTTGTCCATCTACCTTCCATGCACATTAAGAGATTTGCTTATTGTTGAATTAACCAAAGCAATAGAATCTTCTGATTGCAGTTTAGTTTCTAAATTCAGCTGTAAAAATTAAATGTGTTGAGAATACCAGTTAATATAACAAATATAAAGTACTACTATTGTTATCAATAAAAACTGTCAAAAAATATTGTTACTGAGTAAGCAGGCTGTTGTCATTGTTCAACTGACCTACATCCTGTGTGAATCACTCTTCATGAGCAGACAACATGGTGATCTCTAACTCTCTGGTCCAGGCATTTTGGAATTTTTTCATCCTGGTCAGTGGGTTATATTTAGGGGAAAGGATCACATATGTCCTATGTGAAAGCAGACTGAGAGACACTGGTGGGAAATAGGAGACACTATGTATGCTGATTGATTTTATGTGTCAATTTGACTGGGCTATGAGAACCTCAGACATTTGGTGAAGCATTATTCTGGGTATGTCCGTGAAGGTGATGGGAGATGGGATTAAAATTTGACTCAGCAAACTGACTAAAGCAGAGCCCCTCCTTAATGTAGGTGGCCCCATCCATGGAGTTAAAGGTGTGAATAGAACAGAGACACTGACCCTCCCAGGAGTAAAAGGGAACTTCTGCATGAATCCTTGAGCTGCAGCACTGGCCTTTATCTGCCTTTGGACTCATGTGAAACATTGACTTCAACTTGGATTTTGAAGGCTGGCAATTATACCATCAGTTCTCCTGGTTTTCCACTTTAAGACTCAGCCTGGAACTATACCATTGGCTCTTTTGGCACCCACATCTCTCCCTTCTCTTTCTGTTTATATATTTATTGTATTTATTGTTTTGAAAAAGATACTGGAGATTGAATGCAGGGCCTTTCCCTTTACACTAAGCTAAATCCCCAGCCCCGCCCCTTTATTTTCTACTTTGAGACACAGTCTTGATAAATTGCCAACACTGGGATCAAACTTACGATCCTCTTGTGTTAGTCTCCCATAGTGCTATATTTATATTTTAGTCTGCTGTACTAGAAAACCCTGACTAAAACACTATTTGCCAAGTATACTTCACAAGCCTCAGTGAATAGGCAAACCTCACCTTGCATCTTCCAGAGCATAAGGAAGAAATGAGAAATTTTATGTCCTCAAACTTTCCTTTTCATAGTTAATAATTTCTAGATAAATGAAAGCAATGTTTTCACTCATCCAACCAATGATTATTTATGGATCACCTACTGTTAGACAACCAACATTCTAGGTGCTAGGAAAAGACCAATGAAAGAAGCATATTTCTCCCCTATTTTATTGGACTTTACTTTCTACTAGGAATAGACTCATATGGAATGGATATGTTAAAAACAATAAAAAAGAAACAGAATTCCTAAGCAGATTATTCAAAATTTTTCTTCTGATGGAAGTGATGAGTTACACTCCTAGTACTTGGAGTAGCAAGCCTCTTGTACACCTGGGAACTGAAAGACATTTTAAAGCTCATCTTGGAGATACTGGAGACAAAGCATTCAGAGCAGAGGAAATGGGCTTTTTGGAAACCCTGAGAGGGGAATAGAGGCTGGACTGTCCTGGACCAGAGCGGGGGAATAGGAGTAGAGAAAGGTGAACAGGCCAGCCATTATTAAGCTCTTAGATACTTGACTTTCTATAGGATAATTACGCGTGGTTTTATTCTAAGTGAGCTCAGAAATCAATGTAGGCCTTTTAAAAAAAAATAAATGATATGATTGGGTTTACACAGAAATGATTCTATCACCAATGGAGCCTGCACGTAGAGGGTATAAGTCTCCAAACTGGCCTGACTCTCCCAGCCCCCAGCCTGCACGCCAACAGAGGCACTACTCTCCATGGGGAATTCATCTCAGCATTCCAGGTGCCGTCCACAAACAGGAAAGGAGATGAGATAGGACAAGGACTTTTGCAGGGCCCAGAGAAATCTAGAAACATCTAGAGACACCCAAAAAGTTTACATTGGACACTTCAAGGACTTTTCCCACTGGGATACAAGGCTGCAAGAAAACTTTAACCACAGATGTTTGTTAAACCTTCCCGTGCCCTCTTTGCATCCTTAGAAAAGGGGCACACTTCTTTGTTGGGGCAGATAGCTTTGTAGCTCTTTGCCTACCTGCATTCAGGTAATAAAACATATATCTAGTTGCTTTCATAAAAGCCGGTCATTTGGTCTCCTGCCTTGTGTTTCATTAGAGAGGGGAATGCTTCAAGGATTATTTTGGAGATGCAATTTTCCCCCATCTTGTAACTATGTAGAACTTCTGCCCCTGCCCACCTGTTGAACTGAGCTGTAGTTTCTCCTCCTTGTCATTCCACATGAGACAATCTCTTCTTTCTCAAAGATGTCCCCACTTAGGGGTGAAGTACTTTTCGTGATTATAGCACGATATGGTGGGGAAGGAAGTTCTGTCTGACTCACAGAGAACATCTCACCTCCAAGTCCAGGTTCTAGTTCACTTGTACTACCTGTGTCACACCAGATACTGTAGCAAGAAGCATTGTCCCACTCCTCAGGGTTTAGCAATCTAGGGTAGGATTTAGATCTATCCGTACCCAAGATACACATACTTTAATGGCAAAAATGAAAAAGACTCACAAGGGCTATAGTAACAAGGGAATGCATTTCATTTCTCCTAGATTGGTATGTTTTGGTGGAAGTCACGTGAATTGGAGCAGGGTCTTGCAGGAAGTAGTAACATTCCAGATGGTGTCACAGCTTGACCCACGTCCAGGGTTAAAGGAGAGAGTATTTCCTTGAGAAGTGGAAGGAGGGTAGTAGAATATCATGGAAAGGCACATCCAGATTCTATCAGGTGCCATGTTGAGCTGCTTAGCCAGCAGCTCTTTTTTCTACATCTGTTCTTCCAGCTGAAGAAAAACAACAGATTAGGAAGCAATGGAAATCAATAGTCTGTCATTGTTCTGGTTCAGGCAGGAAGGACAAAAGGTGGGTGTAATGGTGGGGTTAGAAGGTTCAGTGGAAGGTAGATTGAAAGTCAGGAAGAATTTACACTTCCAGAGAAATTAAGGGAGTCATTAATACCAATAGCAGAGGCAGATAAGAGAAAAGCCCAGGAGGGTGTGCTTGTGGAGATGGATAAGAAATATAATTATCCTTAAAGTGAATCAATTTCAAGCTTTATCCTTGAAATATTTGAGGTATATATTGAGGAAGTCTGAGTCTGACAAAATACAACTTTCACGGTTTAAACATGTTTAAAATCATGGTTATACCACATTTGCATTGAGCTGTGGAGTATTGTGATGGATGGTACTTAAGTTTCAAAGGATAGTAAGTGACTAGAATGAAATCACTCATCTCGTGTCCTCATGGGGGCAAAATGATGACGAGGATTCCCTTGTTTGAAGGAATAGGCATTTCCTCCACCCATGAAGGAACATCTGTTACAGGATGTTCCCAGGTCATACTCCTCACTGCAACAGCCAGAGAGGAAAGCACTTCGGAAAATGGAACATTTCAGAAGTACGGCATGGAAATACCACATGCGTTGCCTTGCAGATATTCCTTTAAACTGATTTTAAGAATTAACAAGCCTTTTTTGTATGCTTAGCTTCCCCTTTCTGAAATGCAAAAAGTGTTAGGAG